TGGAACGCCAAATAGGCACAGAGCTGTGCGTATGCTACGTGTGTGTGGTTAATATTTAGTAATCTCCCTATTGTAATCTATTGCTACTGTATCCATGATTTCTTGTGGGAAAACAGTGGATTTTATTACGTTTGTGTTATAATGTTTTTTGCAAGTTAGTAATACTAATACTTGTAATGATTTAACATTACAGTATTATGTTATTATGCTGATAATCAAACGAATGGATTTTATGATTTTTATAGAGTATCTATCGATGTTTATGTTAATATTATTGATACGATTTACATAGTTGCATTTTAACATGTTGATTAATATACTGCTAAACCAATAATCAACCATCTTCCAGGCAGACATGACCACGAAGACCAGAGGAACCTGCTTGGTGGTGGTGCCTGACCTGACGAAGCTATGAATGGAGAACAGTTAATAAAAGGGATTCTTTACCAACTGGAACATACCTGAAAACCAAAAATAAATGTAGAATAAAAAATATATAATTCAGTTTATATGATAAATATGATAAATTTGATTTATCATTAATAACTACTATTTTTATATGGCCTACTTATATAATCGTGTTAGTGTATAAGATATTTTAAATACGGTAACCAATCACTTTTTCTGGAATGAAACGTACAGTATATAATAATTACGCTTATTATACATAGGTCTACATAATGCAAGATTAATTAGTTATATTCCAAAATACAATATTAATGTTTCAGATTCATATAGGCCCCTATTTCATTTTATCATTTATGGAATTTACTATTTTGTGTGTGTGGTTAATCTATTGCTATATAGGCCTAGTATATTTCGTCGGAAATATACTGTACTGTACAGTATATTTGAAACTGTACGAATGTACATTATTATGCATTCATATACGGTATGTTAATAATCAAACAAAATTTTATATACAATAATGCTACCGTATAGTCGATATAATCATTGAAGAAGAATGTTGATAATTTTAATATACTGCCAGTGTATTTTACTGCATTTATCTTAATATCATTGGAGCTTACAATATTATTGATGCTTTATGCTTCGTTGAATAAACACATTTTTAATTAATTTGAATGATGTAAATTGTAATAATTTTATTTTTATTAACTTATTTATTTGATATTGTCTATCCATATTGTAGATATTGTAGAAATCTTCAAATACTCTATACAGTATGAATAATATGATAATACTGTAATAACAATCTTTCTCTACAACCAAGCACTTTAAGTTAACTGTAAACGCCCTTCATTGAAAAAATAACAATAGAATACATATTTCCGTGGTGACGTTATTTACCGTCTTGCGTTCGAGGACAAAAGATGCATATTTTGACGAACGTGTATGCAAAGCGAATTCACCAACTGATTACAGATTTAACAAACAATATTACTGTTATAATAACACACACCAGAAGTTGATCACAATTCAATTGGTTACCACTA